TCTTTTTGTATTCTATTTGTTTTCTTTTTATTTATTATAGTTATACAATTAACAAAACAAAAAAGGCCTCTAACACTAGCTTGCTCTATTCTTTTTCTGTTCTATCTGTTTTCTTTGTATTTATTATATGATTTAAAAAAAAAAAAACCTTGCTATGTGTACTGCATTAAGCTAACTGAGACTTGTTATAGCACTTGTATATCATTGCTCTTTTGTTGATTTTGATTGCTTCCATTGTCCTCATTTGTAAGTCGCTTTGGATAAAAGCGTCTGCTAAATGTCTAAATGTAAATCTGCTGAAGTGTTTTCAATTGTGTGTGCCATATGCATCAGACATTCAGCCAGCGGTCCGTAGCTGAGACTAGTTGGAGCTAAACTCTCAAGTCGCTTTAAAATTGTCTTTGAATTTCCATTTTTGCGGTAGCTCTATAGCCTCGCTGTTGAAGAGCAATTAGCTGGTGAAGGGAATTTACTTATTAGTAATGTTCAAAGCAGATGTCATAACAAATGTCAGTAGACCGGTAAGATTTTAAAACAAGTAGTTCATTCATAAATTTGTACGACCTTACCACCTTCTTGCTGTGGAAATACAATGGAATACAGAAGACAATGAAAGCAGCCCATAAAAGGGGCGGAGCTACATAAAGCCTATAGTATGAATGTATCTTGATGGTTCTGATAGTAAAGATCTAGAATAGATAGTAAAGTGTCCATCATATGCGCACTTCAGAATCTCGCCAGAAGTAGTGGGTCATCCGGCACTTTTGCCTACTCTTTTATGAGTAAAGTAAATTCGGACATACTTCTGTTTTTTTACCTTCTATGTAGCAGGGAAGTATGTTATTTTGGATGCAGCCCACGTGTTGTTTACAGTCGGGTGGATTCTGATTGGCTGTCAGTCAGTGTTGCCAAGTCCGCAGTTTTCCTGTGGAATTGGGCTAATTTAACTCTTAACGCAGGCTGTTTTTCCATGTCCACGGGTTGAAGCGACCCCAGTAACGTGATATTTAGCCACTGGAATGTGAATTGTACCAGGGCAACCCCGCCAAAAAATGTGTATTTTACCCATGGAATGCAATTTTACCGGGGGACCCTCCTCAAAACGCGATTGGGCTAGTTTTGAGTAGCAATTGGGTGGGTTTTCTTGTGAAAAACTGGCAACCCTGCAGTCAGTGTTAAATGTTCTGAAAATGATTCCAGCGATATTGTCTCACGTAGCTAAACCTTTAAACTGATGGCAGAAGACGTGACGACTGAGACTAGTCTCTGTCATTATCATTAGCTTTGGTGTGGACGTCCCTATTCTCATAGAATTTATTATCGTAGTTATCACTCTTGGTGTGAACGGGACTTAACTGTGGGAAATTTTTGCGAAAGACAGATAAAGTGAGAGCGAGACAGCCACTGGAGACAGTATGTGGATGAGAGAGAGTGCAGTGCCGGGGTTGAAGAGGGTTGGAGAGCGGCTGAAAGCCATTAAAAATTCATGATACAGGAAAACTTCAAAATGTCATGATGGGTGGGCTGTTCATAAACATATCAATAAAGGAGACACAATGGCAATCCCCCCTTGCAAGCTTGTTAATTAACATTTCAAAAGCCTCTGAGTGCTCATGAAATAACAAATACACAAAATAATGTTCTTTTTAGCAGCATCATATGACCCCTTTAACTCTGAAACCACAGCAGACAGACACAAGTACTTCACGGTTTAAACACAAAGACACTATAAGAACAAGGATCACCATTGCACGACCATTGCTAAATAGTGTTAAAAATGCTTATGCATTTACATTCTTGATCAGGCAGGTATAAGAAACATCAGACAACTGGTCATTCTGAGTGAATCAATAGTGCCCTCTACAGGCCCCGGGTAAATAATGCAAATGGAATACATCCCAAAACCCCATCACATTACACCATGGTAAATGTTAAAAACAGGGTATTTTTGAAACATTTGTTGGTGTAAGTGAACACATTAAGTATAGTTGTAAAAATAAATCAAACGAGGAATCAAAGAAACACTGATATGTACCATGTATGAGTACACAACTAGTATGTCTTGCGTAAAATAAATCCAAAAATGAAACAAACGATGCTCACAGTTCAGTTTTAATTAATTGTGAAGTGAATGTACATGTATTAATTGAAAGACCTTTTTAATATATCTTTACATAAAAAAGCAACTATACAGCTGTTTTGCATCACTTAACCTGTAGTCATTCTGTTTGCACCTTATAAAAACAGGATAGTGTAATACTATAATTACAATTAAAACTAATTTCTGATGTCAGGAAGACAAGATATACAATACGATCTACAGCATGTCTCTATACAGTGCACAGGCCGTCTGGTGGCAGACAAAACAAAGTGTACCATAAAACCAGCAGTGATGTGGAAAAGGTTTTCATTTTTATGTACCATTCAAAAATGCACCAAGATTTTTACAATGACTCCATGATGTAACATCAACCATTTTGTTTTAAATTGTTCAATGTACAGTGGACTTTATCATAATTTACAGCTGAATCTCATGAAACCAGTCAAGGTCATATTTCGCGCCAAAACAAAACGTTTTGCTTAAAGAAAATTAAGCTTTAGGATCATTACAATTTTTGGCATTGTGGAAAAAAAAAAAAATTGCATTCTCATTATGGTAATATGTGGGAAAAAGTTTTTTTTTTATATTGCTTTTAAATATGAAAAAAAAATTATTATAGTATTTTACTGTAATAAAATATAACATCTATTACAGTAACAAGAATTACAATTGACAACAATGCACATGAGAAAAAGCACAAAAAAAACAACAACTCAAAAGTAAAATATCCAACACTATAATAAGAATAATTTAGGGGGAAAATGTGCTGAAATGATGAAAATAATATCTAGTAATATCTAATAATAAAATCTAGTGAATTCTTATGATTTTTGGGTAAAATATGGCGTGTTCTTGTGGGATTCACCTTGAAATATCTAAAGTGAAGTGCTATGTTGTTAAAAAAGATGAAAATATTAAAGCAGGTGTTTTATCTGTGTGAAAAAGTCAAAGTATGGTAAATTTCAGTAAAATGCACAAAAGAAAGTGAGACTGCGTGCCGACGTCCTGAGAATGTCAAAGATGTGCTTTCAGATCCACACACCAGTCAGTGTGTGTTCAGCGTGAGAAACAGTGTTACATACATCTGTGTCAACAGACTTTCTTCTTTATTACTCGAAGGTCAGTCTAAAAAAATCATTTACCAGTGTTAAGGCATAAGTGGACAGCATATATCATCATCATCATCATAATCACTCACTCACTCACTCACTCACTCACACTCAGTCTCTCACAATCGCTCAACACTAAAACAGTTTATCTCCAGTGTCATAATTTCCATAAAAATATTATTGCTGGGTACACGAGCATATTCTTGATCACAGAAAAGTGTGTACCATAAAGACGATTAAAACACCCCAGACCACGCTGTGGGAATCATGGGAACTCTACGGAGTGCTGGCCCTCCAAACCCGCTCCCCAGAAGTGTCTCTAGTATCAAGTACCAGCATCCCGCATCACTTCCTCCTCCTCCTCTTGACTCCAGAGCACTGAGCGACTGGCCCGGCACTCGTCAGTATAGGCTGGAGGATCATGGGAAACAGGATGCTGGAGTGAGTTGGAGGCTTTTAGCTGCAGCTTTTATCCTTCTGGGGCTTCCTCTTTAGAGACGCCGATTATGGCCGATGGAACCTGCAAAAGGAATTGATAGAAGACATGACATTTTTGTTAATACAGTCCAGGTGATGGTTAAAGAAAATTATCATGTTCATATGCACATTATATTCCAATTACTGCCTTCACTCA